AAAAAAAAAAAAAAAAATGAAAAACACAAAGCCCCTCTCTTAGCGTCTCCGCTTCTCTAGTGAAGCAAACCTTTTTTCTCTCTACCACTTTTTCCCTTATGTTCCATTTGATTTGCTCTGTTTTTTCCTCTATTTTTTTCTCTCTCTTTTGTTTTTTTTAATCCCTGTAGGCAACAATCTCCGTGAGGGTCTTACATTATTTAATAACATTAGAAATTAAGGATCTTGCTGGTGATGTTTGGTAAGGGGATCTCGTTCTTGGTGCAGGGTTCTTGCAATCATCCTCAATCATGTGTTTTGAGGGATGCAGGCCAGTTGAGGATTTTGGACAATTGGTGGTGCCGGGATTGAGTATCATGGTGGGATGATGATATATGAGAACTAGCAATCTTGTACGTGCGCTGCCAAAGTGCTCTCTTAAGATTGCACCAAGGCTTGAGATGATTGAGAAGTCTGAGGTTGGTGCTAGGTCGTCAGATTCAAAGGTGAAGGAAAGTGTTGCTTCCGACAATGAAGGAGATTAGGAATTTAGGATTATTCCTGGTCTAATTCAATTAATTGTTTATGATTGGGAAGGTGGGCTACCCAATTAGTTGCTCTATAAATATGATAGGGTTATAGCGGGTGAGAACTTTTGTTAACCTAATTAGTTGCCCTCCCCAAGAAGCTGGCTTAGTAAGTGTAAATGCTCAGTAGTTTAGGATGGTCATGATGAACCTCTTCCAATATCTGTAGTCCTACAATGCCTAAACAGTCATTGCCAAGGCAGTTTTTAATTGAAGTTGACCTTTTTTACTTAATTATCTAAATTCATTATGGGTATGATCTAAAATTATAACTAATGTTGTACGCTGTACTTCCATGTTAGGCTACTACCATGTTATTAAGATTCTTGTGTAATCTTATTTTATATTTTCAATCATAATCTCTATTTAAAAAAAAAAAAAACAAAACAAAAAACAAAACAAAAAAACCACAACTGTACTAAATGGAGTTCAAAACAATCCTATCAAATTAGTCATTTAGTTCGCCATTTCCTTCTCTGTTTCGTTGGGATAGATTTGAGAATTTAAACTTTATATTAATAAGAGGACTACAGTTGCTCTGGAGCAATATAAAAAAAGTGCAAATAAGAAGGTTAACTCTGTACTTTTTTCATTTAAATGTATTAATTTTTTTAATTTCTAAATAAATATGTTAACTTTTAATTTTTTTATTTAAAAATATCAACTTTCAATATTTTAGTTAAAAAATTCATTTGTCACATTAGCATTATCATCTAATTAATTCTTAAATAGAAAAAATTGAAAGTTGATAGTTTTAAATAAAAAAAGTTAAAAGTTAATATTCTTAAATAGAAAAAATTAAAAGTTAGCATTCTTATTTAAAAACTAACAAATTTAATATCTTTAAATAAAAAATATATATATAAAGTTAATATTCTTATTTACACATTTTCTCGAAGCAATATTGAAATTGAAGAACATATTTTCATTTTATCAAAACAATTGAGTGCTTTTTTACATAAAAATGTGTATAAGATAAATCTCTGAAATTTTAAGCTAAATAATATATCAAATTAAAATTCTCTATTTTCATGGAAAAGAAAAAAGGAAAAAAAAAAAAAAAACCATAACTATTCTAAATGAAGCTTAAAACAATCCTACCAAATTAGTCCTTTAGTCCACCATTTCCTTTTCTACTTTGTTCGAATAGATTTGAGAATTTGAACTTTAGAAAACCAAGGCTGCTCTGAGGCAATATTGAAACTGAGAAACACATTTTCATTTTATCAAAACAATTGAGCACTTTTTTATAGAAAAATATGTATCAAACATATCTTCAAAATCTTAAGCAAAATAATATTTTAAATTAAAATTCTCTATTTTCATAAAAAAAAAAAGAAAAAGAAAAAAGAAAAACGAAACTTAAAACATTCCTATCAAATTAGTCATTTAGCCCACCATCTCCTTTTCTGTTTCGTTGGAATAGATTTGAGAATTCAAACTTTAGAGAACTAAGGTTGCTCTGAAGCAATATTGAAACTGAAAAACACATTTTCATTTTATCAAAACAATTGGGTATTATAGAATAATGTATATTAGATAGGTCTCCGAAATCTTAAGTGAAATAACATCTCAAATTATGTTGTTTTAGGGTCCATTTAATATGTTTGTAGTTTTGAGTTTTTGATTTTGGTTTCAAAATCCAAATAATCAAAATTAACAACTAAAAACCAAAATTAAAAATTAAAATTACCAACTTATTGGGTATAAAATTTTAAAACAAATACCTAAAACTCCAAACTTAATTAATTTATAGAACTATTTAATTTTATTCTAATGTTTCTAAAATTTTCAAAACCAAAACCAAAAACTCAAAATCACAACCATACTAAATGGTACCTTAATAAATTCTCATTGAAAAAACTAAAATAACAGTTTTATAACATAATTTTGGGGTGTTTTAAGTCCTTTCTCTTAATTTTTGAAATTCGGTTGATTAATACTGATCTCACTCATTTATTAATTCCAAAATTTGTCAAAAAATTCAGTCTATACCAATGTTAAATTCTCACCCATAAAGGCTCAAATAAGAGACCTAAAGACCACATTTATATTGGCCCTGGACTTATCATCCAGACTAGCCCAACATTTTAGCGAATATTTGGTCAACTCCATCTGTAGGTCCACAAATTTGGCTCCATACCACAACTTCTTTATTCCTATACACTCCCATACTACCATTATTGAATTTCTAAACTTCAGAAAAATTTAAAACTAAGATTTATTAACTGCTCTACGTGCCACAATAGCCTCGATCTCAATTGGCTTGTCCTGTTTCGGAGTATTTTTAGGGGCTTTCGTGAGTTTAGGACAAATACTTTCAGACTCTCGATTCTCAATCCCTTGTCGACATAAATTCCACTACAAATTCTCACTGGACTTTAGTAGTATACCCTACCATCAGCCTAAACTTTCCTTTATCAAAAAACTCAATTCTCTGGCGGCCAAAAAGTGATAATAATAATAATCTCAGTTCTCAGAGAACAAGTTTTGAACTTTCCGTTCCTTTCTTCCTCTCCTTAGTGAAAGGATTAAACTTGATTTTTTTTTTTTCTTTCATCATCTTCTCCGCTTTGTGATCCAAATCAAGCAGGAACTGAAGCATAAAGTAGGTATTCATGGTTTAAACTGTTAATTTGGTCTGTCCTTGGGTTATTTGTTCTAACACGCATTTCTTTGCTACATGTATGATGGTGTTCCTTGTCCAAATTTTCAAATTGCAAATAGAAACAAATCTCTTGCCCCTAGATGAGTTTCATCATTTCTGACTTGGTTTATTTTCCCACATTGGAAAAACAACAAAGAAATATGTGACTTAAAAATAAGATTAGTTACTTCATGTATTATCAATTGGTTTTATTTCACATGGTATCAAAGATAAAATTCTATTTCTAGAAAGAATGAGATCCCATGATAAATTGGGTCTGTGCACGTGGGGAGAGCATGGTCTCTTAAATACACGCATAAAGAAATGTAAGTGGGAAAATATCAAATCTCACATTAACATAATATGAAAAACATGTGTGGTAAAAACCCTAGCCTTACTGCCTCTCCTCTCTCAAAAAAAATCTCTAGCCTGATCTCTTTTTTCTTGTCCTTTGAGTGGCACAACTCTTAAGACTTTCCTAGGTATGCATTGTGGCCACAAGGGTCTATGTAGTTCTCGAGCCACCAAGTTTTCTTATTCTCTTTTGAATCTTGATTTTCAATAGGTTTTTTTTTTTTGTTTTTCAATCCTTCTAATGAAGATTTTGCAGAAGTTGATGGGTTTGGATGTCTGGTGTTTAATGGTTGTCCATGGTATTAAATCAAAAGATAATAATCAAGCAAAGTTGAAAAGTGTGACACCACAAAAAAGTCAATTTTTTTGAGAGGTCTCCTCAATTAGTTGCCAAATTTGGTATTTTGGTTTAAGGGGTGGGAAAGAAAGAGGTTGGAAAATTATTATAAACAATCAAATTATTTCATTAGCCCAACAACTTAATTTGATTGGTTGAAATAAGGTCTCCTCCCCTCCTCTCCCCTTTCCCTCCATTTCCCTTAAACGAAACAAGCTATTAAAGATTGTATAAGGGTTGGGGATCCCATATTTTTTATTATTTTCTTCTATTTTGTAAAATCCCATAGGGATAAATTCAAGTGGGACTAGAAACAAAAACTTGTATAATCCAATTTCTGCTAAAAAATATCTTTGTGTGAGTTGTCCAAGATTTATGTTATGAATGCAATTCCTATCTACCTATCCAAAAAATGAAAAATGAAAAACACATGCAATTTAATGCCTATTGGTTTTAGGTTGGAACCCCAATCTTGCAAAATTTCACAACTTTTAATCATTTTCTCTTAAATTCTTTTTTCAATTTTATGTCTATATTTTTAAGACTTTTTGTCCTTTTTTTTTATTCCTCACTTTTCATTTTTAATTTTTATGAATTTTGTTCAATTCTTTAACTTTAAATCTTTAAACTATTACTTTAACCAGACTTAATCTACCTAAATGAAACTCAACGAATTCAAATGAATCAAGAAGACAAGAACAAGCAAAACCAAATTTTTACTACCCAGACGAACAACATACCAATAACAAAGGACAAACATTACCAACACCATTAGATATTTCACTACAAAACCCAAACTCAGATGACAACTAAACACTACATGGCTCATAAATTGAAATAAGGTTTTTCGTAATGATAATGAATCTTAGCTACTCCATCACTACCATGATTTCTAATTGAAATTTTTGAAAGAGCAGTGCTAGGGGCACTCGCTTTTTGCACTCTCCGGCCAACACTTCCCCTTTCATTGGGCCACGTAAGCTTCTTTAAAGCTTTCAGGCGCAACCTCTCAGAAACCAAAATAACGTGACCCAATAAAAGAGAAAGTGTTCGCTGGAGAGTGCAGGAGGTGAGTGCCCCCAGCATTGCTCTTTTTGAAATGAATTCCAAAGAAACTAATATTTAACACTATTCAACAACCAAGAACAGCCACAGTAGAGACAGATCAGCAACAACAAACGGGCGTACCTGTTTGGATGACAAAGCAAGGATATGGATAAAAAGAGAATGTTCTGACAGCGATGGAAAACTCCCGACTGATCTGTATTTGTCAACAAAGTTCAGGTCTCCACTTGGATACCTTTCTAGATTCCCATCTAGGACTCCCTCTCTTTTCAATTTCCTGACCAACTTCTCCGATTCTCTCTATACTAGGTGGCCACTGGTTAGCTCTCTTTCCCACATTACCCCGCAATGCAGAAGGACCGTGTTGCTATAATGTTGACCCTACTATTCTTAAGTTGGTACCTATCATACCCAAAAAAGCAAGAGAAAACCCATATAAAGGAATTTGGCCAAATAAAGAAAAAAAAAAAAAGCAGGAATGAAAAATCTAAATGACCAGGAAAGCTAAATTAACATGAAATCAAGAATCATTAACCAGTAATACCATGATACTTCAAATGTAAATGTAAGACTCCTTCAAGAATATACAAAACTATGTTCTTAAAATAGCTTCAAGCTGGCCAGCTATAATCTTGTACATGACATAACATTTCAATTGTGATAAGTAAAATGGGTTTCCAAGTTTCCAATTGCCATAAGACATAGAAGGCACATTGGCACTAACCAGTTGTCCAGCACAGAAGGCAATGCCACCACGAGTTGCAGAGACAATGACAAACTACCAGATCCGATATCAGTCTGAATAATTCATTTCTGAAAAACCAGAAAATTGAATACATCACGTATATTTAATGAGAAAAATAATAAAACACAAAAAAAAAAAAAAAAGAATGTCAACTATCTAACCTTGGTTATATTTTTCCTTTTTTTTTTTTTTCCTTGGCCATCTAACATACTTATCTTATATATAAACTAAATAAAAGATCCATACAAAAGTCTTGGACGAAGGACACAAACCAGGAGAGGAAAAATAGTCTTAAACAGAGTAGGAACAAAAACAAAACACCAAAACACCCTGATGAAATCCTGCAAAAAAGAGATAAGGACAAGGTAGCTCCTGCCAGAAGCTGTAGAAGCTGTTCATCCTCTTAAGCATATCATCTGCTTCACCTTCTGCTTCACCCTTAGTCATATGAAATACAGCACCATAGAGAGGAACCAAGGAGTTGAGACTAGCTAGTTGTGCAAAGCAAAACAGCACCTCCAAGGAGAGACCTCCTACTAGTGAAACAAGGGAAAAACCAAATTGAACAAGGGCAGAGAGATCACAGCGGACCATTAGCATACAAGGAGTCCATTTCTGCTTATGACAAAGAATGGAGGAAAAGAAAGGCCACCAGAGTAAGTATATGGTAACATGGAAAGATAAAAATCTTGCTGCCATGCACCCATACCTCCCCCAGCTGAGACACCCACTCCAGATTGGCCTAAAACAACTCCTTTGCCACCATTAATCTCATGCCATCATCAAGTAGACAGGCAATCATATAACATATATTTTTTCTTTTCCAAAAAGAACAACCTAAATCACCAAAACCCTTTGCAAAATAGCCAATCTTATATTTTAAACTATCCTCCAGGAGTCCATAATCATCAATGTAGTCCTTCAAAACAATCTTCATAATGTTGCTAGTCATAAGTATAAAAGCTACCGGGATTGAGAATCAAAAACAAGACATGGTTCTCAGACATACATCTGCCCCTAAAGCATCATACAAATCCATTTGCATCCATACTTTGTAGATGAAACTATGTCCAAAATTGCAAAAACACATTTTCTCAATGAGTAGAAATATTCCCAACAGCATCACAGACAAAATACTCACAGTTCTAACAGCATAACTCAAGGAAATTAACCCAGGCTCATGAAATAATATCCTGATTGCTATTAATCCATGGTTAATTGATAACGCACTCTTCAGAAATGATTTCCCTCTATGAAATTGAAAACGCAGAAACATCTGCAGAAAC